CGTTGGAGACGGTGGCTGTCGAGAACTGTGCGCGACGTTGGAAGCGGGTGCCGAATCGCGGCGGGCCGGCGGCGGGGGCGGGCGGCGGGCGGGCGGCGGTCGGCGGACGGGCGGATCGGGACGTTAAAAGAACTCCTAAGGATTCTCTTTTGCCGCGGGATGCCGTTGAATACTGGGCGTTGCGTTGGAGACGGAAGCCGCTGAATACTGGGCATTGCGTTGGAGACGGAGGCTGTCGAGCATTAAGCGTTGCGTTGGGGATGGGGGCCGTTGAGTGTTAGATTTTGCGCTTGGGGCGGAGGGCGCTGCGTGCTGGGTTCTGCGTTGGAAACGGACGCCGTGAAGTGCTGGGCGCCGCGTTGAACGCGGAAGCACAGCGATCGGGCGGCGGGGGGGCGGGCGGCGGGCAGGCGGCGGGCGGGCGGGCGGCGGACGGCGGGCGGGCGGATCGGGATTTCAATGCAACTCCTAAGGACTCTCTCTTGCAGCGGGACGCGGTTGCATGCTGGGTGTCGCACTGGAGACGGAGGCCGTTGAGTGCTAATTTGCATTGGAGACGGAGGCCGCTGAGTATTGGGAGTTGCGTTGGTAACGGATGCCGTGGAGTGCTGGGCGTTGCGCTGAACGCGGAAGCGCCGCGGGCGGGCGCCGGGGGTCGGGCGGCGGGCGGCGGAAAGGCGGCTGGCGGGCGGGCGGCGGGCGGGCGGACCCGGCTTTTATCGACCTCCTAAGGATTGTCTCTTGCAGCGGGATGCCGTTCAGTACTGGGCGCCGCGTTGGAGACAGAGGCCGCTGAGCACTGGGCGCTGCGTTGGGGGTGGATGCTTTTGAGCGCCGGGCGTTTTGCAGACGGTTTAGAGGGGACTCCCCTGAGAAATTTTCTCTACAAAACCACCACCAGGAAAATTTTTGGGGCAATTTGGGGGGGCTGACAGCCCGCGCAACAACCTTCTTAAGGACAGTTTTTTTCGCGCGGTGTTTGATTGGTCTCTCCCGGGCCCGGGGGGGGGCGGGGGGGCGAGGCAAGTTTTTGGCGATTTGTTCTGCCCAAAAACCGTTTCAGAACCTCCCAGCACCAACCTTCCAACAAACCTGCCAAACACCTTCAAAACAAACGCCCGCTATCCAAAATGCAGGGCGATTGCCACATGCATTCCAACAACCTTCCAAGCAACTTCGAACGCGCCTTCCAAACAAAAGCACCGAATCATAAAACAATTAAACACCAACAAAAACAAAAACACAAACAACAACAAAAACAACAACAACAACAACAACAACAACAACAACAACAACAACAACAACAACAACAACAACAACAACAAACACAACAACAACAAAAACAACAAAAACAACCTTCCAACGCCACCCCCAAACGCCCCCCAGCACCGCCCATTAACTTTCTTTCTACAAACCATCAGAAACCCGCCCAAAACAAACTTCCAATAGCCTTCCAAAGAACACCCCTAGAATTTTAGAGGGGGCTGTCAGGGGGAACCCAAAAACACGCGGCGGTGTTTCCGACTCCTGCCAGGCAACTTTCCCGTGGAAAGATTTCCGGGGCCCAAGAACCTTCCGACTGAAACATTCCAGAACAAATCTTCTAGGGTTCCACAAACCGTCAGAAAAAACTGCCTGGGGCGGGTTTTTTTTCAGGAATGCCCCAAAAACCTCCCCGACCACCTTCCCGCGGACAGTCTCTGGAGGGAGGGCACTCATGGGGGATCCCCAGGACAGGGAAGAAGAATTAGAAAGAACGACACACAAATGTTTCCCGGTAGAACGCTAAAAGGTCTGGGTGAGAGACCCCCAGCCCATTTTTCCTGGGGAAAGGTGCAAGACGGCGTTTCAAACAGGAACCCCCCCCCAACACCTCCCAAAACAATTTTCCTAGGGAAGAGTTCAGGAGGGCTCGTTGGGGGATCTTTCAAAAGCCACTATATATAGATGTGTATACATATATATATATATATATATATATATATATACATGTATATTCGTATATATATATATATATAATATATATATATATATATAAAAAATGTGTATATATACATATATACACACAAAAAAATTGAAGAAGGTAGCGGGAAGGCTGGCAAGGGACAAATCCTTCCCAGTGATTTTTTAAAATCCAACCACCTTCAAAACAAACCTTCCTGAGGAAGGGCCCCGGGAAGGAATGGGGGGGGGCAACAAAAAAAACAACTAAAACCTCAATTCGGATGGCGTTGCTGGAGGGCCCGGGGAAACCTAAAAACCTCCTTCCGGGCGTGCGATAAATGTAATGCATGAATACATATACATTTACACATAATGTGTATATGTTTGTATATGTAATTATATACACATATACAAACATATCTACTCCGTCTACACCCCTTTTGGGGTGCTCCGCCGGGGAGCTTGTTTCAGCCAGGAGCCCAGAGGCCTAAGAAGGGCTAGCGAGATAGGCGAGCTTGCACTCTGGGACCCGCCCCCACTTGACCGCGGGCCGAGATGGGCACACACTCAGCACAATCACCGACGAGCAAGCACACGGCAACAGAGCTAGCTAGCCTGCACTCGCGACCCCCCTCTAAGCTCTCCTGGCAAAACCTCGCGCGAAGGCAGGCACGGACACGCGCGCGAAAATTATGATTACCCCTGTCTGTGGGTGGGCCAACACAGATACGGAAGATGGACGCTGAGCTTCCACCAGCGGCGTCGCGCACACTTAGGGGGACTCCGCATAGGCCCCCTTTGGACGGATACTATATACTCCGTCTGCACCCCTTTTTGGGCGTTCCGCCAGGAAGCTCGTCCAAGCCAGGAGCCCAGCGGGCTAAGAAGGACTAGCAAGCAAGGCTAGCTTGCACTCTGGGACCCGCCCCCGGTTGACCGCCGGCCGAGATGGGCACGCACTCAGCACGATCACCGACGAGCAAGCACACGGCAACAGAGCTAGCTAGCCTGCACTCGCGACCCCCCTCTAAGCTCTCCACGGACCCTACACCCGCACTTCCTCCACCCCTCATATTAATAATCCTCCTCCTTCAGTTCGGGGTGGGAAGACAGACAGGGAAAAAGAAAGAGATAGGAGCCTTTCAGCTCGCCGTCGCTCGCAGACGGGCGGCGAGCAGCTCGCAGCGCTGGCGCTGCAAAGGCGAGGGGCTGGGCTGCGCGGCCTCGGCGACGGCGTCTTGGACATACAGGCGAGCCGTTCTCGCAGGGGCCCTCCTGCCGCGGAACAGCGCATGCCCCATCGAGCCGCGGCCGTGGAAGACGGCGGAGGCTCCGCCCCGCCTCCAGCTGTGCAAGGTCAGCTTGGTGTCTTGCAGCTCTAGCAGCTCGCGCACCTGGCTGAAAATGCGAACGAAGCAATTCGGCTCCATCCCGAGACACAAGTCACTCTGTCGAGCATTGGCCTCGGCTTTGGCCAGGGGCGCAACCGCCACTGCGCTCCGCACAAGCACGAACTCGCGGGCACCGGTCTGGCGCTGGCTCGTGGTACTACGCAACTGCAGCACGGCCTTGCGCCGGGCTGGGTACAGCTGCACGTCGGACCAAGCGAGCGAAGTCATCTCGCCTGTCCGAAGGAAAATGTCAAAACCCGCCGCGAGCGTCGCCGCAGCGCCAAGCTGGCCCACAGCTGCAAACGCCCCATCGCACGCTGCGGCAATGAGTGGCCCGATCGGCAGTGCCCGGCCATCTGGCTCCAGACGCTGCCGCGTCTTGGCGAGGCGCCAGCTCTCCTTGTGGTGCCCTCGCACCGGCGGGAACTCGCGAGCAACGCCCGCAACTGCATTGTTCACCTCGAACAAGGAGCCGCCATTCAGCCACCGGCTCTCGATGAAGGCGGACACTCCAGCGTCAACTTGGGCAGGGGTTGGAGTATTTCTCTTTTCCCTGGCCCGAAAAATCGACGACCTCATTGACTGCTGCCCGATGCCGCTGCTGGGCGAGAGGCGTGACCATCGCCTCCCGCAGGGGCGTGGCCCTCGCTGAAGCACGCCTCGCCGCTGTCTTGGCTGCTGCCTGCTTCGCCCTCGTTGCTGCCGAACCTCCGCCGCAACAGCGCGTCCACGGGCATGTCGCCCGTGTCGCAGTAGCCGTGGAGCGGGCATCCGGCCGTCGCGAGGAGCAGGGAGTTGAGCCTGCGGAGGGCAGGCTGAAGCGCCCGCGCGCTCGACCTGCCCTTGGTGTTGACGGCAGCGATCGCGTAGGCATCGAGAATGCGCGGGCACCTGCAGCGGCGGCCCTCGACCGCCCTGCACCTCCAGCGCGCGCCTGCAACAACGGCCTCCAGCTCCAGCGCCGACATGTGAGCCGCGCGCTGCCAGCGGAAGCCATTGGCGATCCGCCAGGCCCGGAGGTGAGCGCGGAGGACAGCCCGCGGCCACGCACGGGCGCGGCACGGCGCACCAGCGCCCAGTCGGACGTCGGCGCCCCCACGGTCGGCCACCCGCAGGAACTCCACGATGAGGCCACGCTCCAGCTGGGGGTCGCGATGCCCTGGCCGCTGGAAGTCGGGGGCGACGTTCCAGTTCGACTGGCAGGCGCCCACGGCAAGGCAGCTCTGACCCGGCATGGCCGCGCAGATCACTCCCACTCGAGCAAGCCACGAGCCGAGAGGATACGTGATGACCTGGGAGCAGAACGTGTTCCCAATCAGGGACTCGATGGTGACATCGCGCTCTGATGGGGCGGTGTTATCTTTTGCAGCGGCCTGGAAGTAGAGGTGGTCGAATCCCATCAGCGCTCCGCGCTCCTCTGGCGCGCGCAGCCGGCCCCGCTCACGCTGCGCGTCCCGGACCAGACTGCCGTCCTCGTAGTTGTTGACCTGGTAGCGGTAGCCGTCTGCCACCCGCCGCTGCGCCGCCGCTGGGGGGGCTCGCTCGAGCCTCGCGGGCCGGAGCGGTGGGTGCTTCCAGGGGATCGGCCGCGCGAAACATGGGAGGTCCGCCTCGGGGCCCAGCAGCGACCAGCCCTCAAAAAGATGCTGCCAGCGGCAGTCGCTTCACCGCGAGCGCGACCTTGAAGCGGGCCGCCGCGCCCTCGCTGGCGCCGACCGCGGCGTCCGAGGCGAGGAAAGACACGACCGGCCACGAGCGCCAGCACAGCCGCGGGCGCCTGACGCGGGCGAGGAACCTGGCGCCCAGGAAGATCGGCGCCACTCCCAGGACCCGTGAGAACTCTGCCCGCGACTCCAGGGACATGCTGAACACGTTCTCGACGAGCCACATGGTGCGCTTGGGGAAGGCGGCCTCCGCTGCCTCGATCAGCTCCGGGACGCGGTAGAAGAGCCTCGACCGCGGGCCTGAGAGGCCAGCCCCCACCGCATTGACGCCCGCGAGGTCCTGGCAGGGCCCCCCCGCGGCCAAGACTACCCAGTCGGCGTCCCTCGCGGAACCGCATCTCGGAGAACCGCTTGGCGCCGACGGCCTCGATGTTCCCCGGCTCGACGACGCCGGCCCAGCGCCGCCGCGCCAGCCGGCGAGCCGCGGGGTCAACCTCACAGCTGACGTGGGCAACCAGTGACCAGCAGCCTGGCAGCGGCCACCGCAGCGCCTGCCGCCCCTGCGAACAACTCAACGAGAACGACGCGTGGCTGCCAGCGGACCCCCTGCACGGGCGCCGAGATGGCCCCCGGCCGCAGCGCCGCTGCCGACGCCTCGCCCTTGGCACAGGCGACGCCCTGCTCGCTGAGCCCGATCGCGTAGCAGATGCCCCCGGCGTGCTCGCTGGCGCCCGTCGCGGAAACGCACGCGTCGATGCGGGCGCGCAGGGCGGTGAAGGCGAGCGGCAGCGCGAAGGCGAAACCCGGGAGCTCGTCGCAGATGCCCAGCAGGGCGGGCCGCGGTCGAGCCCAGCTGCCAGCCGCCCACACGCTGTTGAGGAAGCCCATGAAAGGCCGCCTGAACTCCGCAGCCCTGACACACCGGCCCAACACATTGAGCATCGCCTGGGGCGACAGCGCCGACTGGCCCATGGCCCAGAGGATGAACCCCACGAGCAGGTGCAGCTCCTCGGTGGTGACGCCAACTCGCCCGAAGGCCCCGTCGAGCCCAGCGCACATCCTCTCGAGCACCAATGCACGGTGCTTGGCCTTGTCGGGCGCGACATTGGTCCCCGATCGGTGGTAGGCGGTAGGCGGCCCTCTGCCCCAGCTGCGTGCTGCTGACCGTGCCGACCAGCTCCTCGACCGCAGAGCTAGCAGCTGGACGCTACTTCGCCGTGGCCCCAGTCGCCATTGCAGTACTGGACGCACTGCTGCTCGAGCACCTTCGACTTGAACGGGAGCGGCTGGTCCTCGCGCCACTCCAAGCCAGCCGCAAGTGGGCGCGCGCCGCAGCCCAGGCGCCGGTGGCAGTGCTGGAACACCGTGACTGCGCTGATCCAGCCCATCGGGATGACCCGCAGCGCCAGGTGGGCCTGGGCTGGACACGCCGATGAACTCATTCGGGACGGCATCCGCGAGGGTCATGAACGGCTGCCGGGCGGCCGGCAGCTCGTAGCAGTAAAACGCCGATGCCTGGTCGTCCGACGACCACAGCAGCATGTGGCCCTCTGGAAGCGGGATGGCTCTCTCATGATGCACTGGAAGCTGTTCGCTGGGACCATGTTGACGCTGAGCCGCCGGGCGCGCGCCTGGCCTGGCGAGGGCGCCCCACCTTTGGCAGCGCCAAAGGGCCCTGCCAGCACCTTCCGGCCCCCGACCTTGAAGACGCGGTCCTCGGCGATAGGCGTCGCGCGTCCAAGCTCAACCAGCTTGGCCCCGATCTGGTACCACTCCTGCCTGGGCTCGACCTGGATCGCCGCACGCGGGACATCCTGCGGCCGTTCTGCCCGAGGAAGGAGGGCCAGCGCTGGGCCAGCCAGCCAAGCGCCCACCTGCGGGTCCGCGATGTCGAGCGCCTCGACCGAGGCTGCGACCCCGCGCCCAGGGGGGCCCGGCAGTATTCCAGCAATCAAGAAGCGCACGTGATGTCTCCTCCACGCCGTAGGAGATGTTCTTTGCCGCGATGACCTCGTTCCAGTCGGGGAGCTCGAACGTCGAGGCTGCGCCCCTGGCGAAGTATGCGCAGGCGCGGCCAACGACGCCCAGAGCGCCGGCTTGCCCTGCAGCGGGCCGGCGCGGGGGCGCCGTCGGACTACGCGCGCGCGCCCAATGCACTGGCAGTTCAGGCTGAAGACGACAAGCTGCGCTCAACCCTGGAAAACTGCCCCCTCCAGCTCGCGCTCGGCGAACTGCCGGCCCCGGCACCGTGCGGCGCGGTGCTTCTCGAAGAGCGGGGCGCCAGGCACTGGCAACGGTATCACCTCGCGCAGCCGCGCGAAGCTCGCCGCGGAGTCTGCTGGAGCGCACGTCTTCCTGACAAACCGCCCGATCGCCCCTGGAGCGCCGCGGGTCGCCTCGCGGGCGGCCAGCGCGATCTTGCGCTTGGAGCTCGGGCCGGTGCTCACCTCGCTCAGCATCTGCCACCAGCGCCGGACCTGCGAGCTGCCTCGCAAGCGCCGCTCGGGCCCGCCGGCGGGCGAGGGCGCGCGGCGGCCAGGCTGCCCCGCCCAGCCTCTCGGGGGAGGCCTCAAGCAAGGACCCGGGGCGCCCGTGGCCTGGCGCCCTTCTGGGGCCCCTCGCCTCGCCTGCCCTTGCTCCGCCCCTTGGCGGCCGTCGCGGCGCCTCGGGGGTGGGGCGCGCGAGCCTTTCACGCCTTCCCGGGCTCGCCCTCGCGCCGCGGCTCGGCGAGCCCCAGGTCGCTCCAGCTCCGCCCAGAGGCTGCCGCCGCCCCCGCCGGCCGCTCGCAGAGGTCGAGGCCGAGCCCCCGTCGGAGTCGCTCGCTAGCCGGACGTCGAGCGCCGGACTCAGGATCCTCGGCTGCGGCGGCGGACCCAGACCCCCTCGAGTCGTGATTTTTTGTTATTGGCGCTCGTTTTGCGTGATTGTTTCGCATTGTCGTGAATTTGCTGGTTCATGTTTTAATGTCATGATTTTACAAATCCTTGACCATCCTTGACAGCCCTTGACAAGCCTTGACAGCTCGGCTAGCCTGGACAATCCTTGACAAGCCTTGACAAGCCCTGACAAGCCTTGCAGGACAGCCCTTGACAAGTGATCACAGCTCGGCTAGCCTGGACAATCCTTGGCAAGCCTTGACAAGCCCTCGACGAGCCTTGCAGAACAGCCCTTGACAAGCCCTTGACAACCCTTGACAAGCCAAGCGGATGTCGGTTGACACGCCCGCGCGATTCGCCCCGTTGCGCGCGCGGACTGGCGAGTTTTGTATTGTCCACAAGGAAGAGTCGCCATATGTTTGCAAACCGTGATTTCGGGTGACACGCTCGCTCGTTACCCGATATCGCGCGCGCGGGCGCGCGCGTGGCTACCTTGCAGAATCCACGATGCAAATAAAAATGCAACGGCCTCGAAACTGAAGTGAGTGATCGATGTAATTTTGTAATTAACAGCGTTTTGACGTTTTCAAAAAATGGAGAGGACGCCATGTTGGCCTGGAAACTAGGGTGACGGATCGGACGCTGAAGTTAACATGCGCTTAAGTTGCCGCAAATATAACAAACGCCATGTTGGCCTGGAAACTGAAGTGAACCCTTAAGGGTGACGGATCGGAGTTTGAAGTTCACATGCGCGTTCGACGTTGACGCAAATAGAAGAGACTCCATGTTGGCCTGGAAACTGAGGTGCACCCTAAGTGTGACGGATCGGAATTTGAAGTTAACATGCGCTTTTCGACGTTCTCACACATAGAATAAACGCCATGTTGGCCTGGAAACTGAAGTGAACCCTTAAGTGTGACGGGTTGGGTTTTGAAGTTAACATGTGCTCTTCGACGTTTTCGCAAACAGAGAAGACGCCATTTTGGCCTGGAAACTGAAGTGAACCCTTAAGTGTGACGGATCGGATTTTGAAGTTAACATGCGCTTTTCGACGCTTTCGCACATAGAATAAACGCCATGTTGGCCTGGAAACTGAAGTGAACCCTTAAGTGTGACGGATCGGACTTGGAAGTCAACATGCGCTTTTCGACGTTTTCGCACATAGAAAAGACGCCATCTTGGCCTGGAAACTGAAATGAACCCTTAAAGGTGACGGATCGGATTTTGAAGTTAACATGCGCTCTCGACGTTTTCGCAAATAGAAAAACCGTCATGTTGGCTTGGAAAGTATAATCAACCCTTACGGGTGAGCGAATGGATTTTGAAGTTAAATTGCGTTCTCATGAGGGTTTCAAAAATAAAATAGTCGCCACGTTATGCTTGGGAAGTACGAATGAACCCTCAACGGCGACCAACCTTCGGGCGGCCCGCCCGCGCGCGTGGGTCACACGATCGCGCGCGCGAAAGCACGCGCGAAGGGCTTCGGCAAACAATTCGGCACTTTTTAGGTGACGCATTGGATTTAGCAATTGCAGTGCGCTTTTGCATAGTATATGTTCAAGTCGTTTATGTCTAATATGCTTATATACATATATATATGGTTATACATGTTTGTATACATGTATGTATAGTTGCCCGGCTGCGGGCCACGCGCAGGAAGCTCGAGCGATCTCGAGCCCCGTTCTCCTTCTTTCTGGGGCTATAGAGGGGGATAGGCATGATAGGGGGGATGCATCGACCCCCTACCGCCCGATAGTCCCACCACGCCCTGGTTCAGGCGGGGCCCACTATCGTGGTCCATCGCCGATCTATCGACGATGCATTGCCGAGTCCAGGTCGATGCGCCCCCCCTATGCCCACCCCCCCGATATCGTTGCCCCTCATTATCCTTCTTCTTCTTCGAGGAGTAGGCGGAGGAGGAGAAGGAGGGGGGGGAGAGGAGGAGGAGGAGGTCGAGGAGGAGGAAGAGAGGAGGAGCCCGAGGAAGCCCTCCGCACGCGCCGCTCATACCCAAACCCGCCGCGGGCGCACCGCGGCGGGTCGGCCCGCCGCGCGCGGGCGCGCCCGCGTGGGCCCAGGCGCGCGGGGACGGGCGATGAGGAAGGGGAAGCGTTGGAGGAAGAGGACGGAGAGGAGGGGGAGCAGAGGAGGAGGAGGGGGGGGAGGAGGAGGACAAGGAAGAGGAAAGGCAAGAGGAAAAAGAGGATCGAGGAGGAAGAAAAGGAGTAAAGGGGACGACGACCAGGAGGAAAACGGGGGAGGAAACTCGAGAAGGGGAGAGGGGGAAGAGGGAGGGGGGAGAGGAGGAGGGGGAAGGAGGGGGAGGAGGAAGAGAGGAGGAGGAGGGGGAATGGGGAGGAAGGAGGAGGAGGAGCAGCAGGAAGGAAGGACGAGGAGCAGGACCAAGATCAGGAACAGCAGCAGCGGAGGAGGGGGGGGAAAAGGAGGAGGGGGGCGCGTGCAAGCGCGCATGGTCATCCACTTCGTGTTAACGGGGTCCCGCTGGACAGCGCCTGCGCTCGCAATCGCGAGCCCAGTCCACGACGGCGCCGCGGCCGCCCGGCGGTGCGAGTACCACCAGACGGCCTCAAACACCACACACGCACAACACACAACAACCAAGCAGAGTGGAGGTGACAGGAGGAAGAGGATGAGGAGGGGGTGGGGGGGGGGGGGGGGGGCGGAGGCGGGGAGGAGGCGGAGGAGCAGGAGGAGGAGTAGAGGTCGGGGATGAATAGGGAGGCGGGATGAGGGAGGTAGGTAGGGGAGAAGGGGACTGGCCCTTCATCCTCGCATTCGTTCAGTTCATCCTCTCCCCCCCTCCCCCTCCTCTTCCCCTACGCGTCTCTCGCAATCCTCGGCCCCATTCGACCTCCTCCTCGTCCTATTACGTCCAGTTCCCCCTAGTTCCCACACCCCCCCCCCCCCCCTCCTCTTGTTACTTCTTCCCCTCGTCGCCGTCCTCGGTCGCCTCTCCTCAGAGGCTGGCGCATCGATGGGGAAGCCGAAGCAGTGCGTCCACAGGGGGGCGGCCGACGTCGAGGCCGACACCCTGTCTCAGGTCTGGGGGCCCGAGTATAGCGAGGAGGGAGGAGGTGGAATGGGAAAGACTGGAACGGGGTCGAACGCTTTCTTCCTTTTGTCCGTTATTCCTTCTCCGCCTCCTCCTCCTCCTCCTCCTCCTGTTCCCCCCCCCTCCTCCTCCTCCCTTCCTCCTCCCCCCCCTCCTCCTCCTCCTCGTTTGCTATTCTCGCGCGTCCTCCTCATTCGACCATCGCCCCCCTCAAGTTCCGCTCCCCCTCTCATCTGCCTCCTCGCCATCGCCCTCCTCAGGGCGACGATCGACGGTAGGGGCGGGGAGGCAAGATCAGCGAGCGTCAGAGGGCGAGGAGAAAGAACGCGAAAGGAGCTCGAGGACGATAGGGAACCGCGACGACGATGATGACGACGACGACGACGCGAGGGGGGCGAGGGCGGAGGTGGCGATAAAGACGAGCCCCACCCCCACGGCCTACTACGCAGGTCACGCGGGACTCCTGGGCCGACGCGTGGCCGAGATTGCAGGAGACCACAGGCGACTAGGGGCGGGGCCAACGCGCATGTCTACCCGCGTTCACGCGCGTGCATGCGCGCGCATGGCATACACAAGCGCACGGCGCGGGGAGAGAGGGGGGGACATGCATATATATATATATATATATATATATATAGAGAGAGAGAGAGAGGAGAGAGAGAGAGAGAGGAAGAGAGAGAGAGAGAGAGAGAGAGAGAGAGAGCGGACAGGGAGAGGGCGAGGGAGAGGGGGAGGGAGAGGGAAGAGGGGAGAGGGAGAGGGAGAGGGAGAGGGAGAGGGAGAGAGAGCGAGAGGGAGAGGGAGCGGGAGGGGAGAGGGAGAGGGAGCGGGGAGAGGGAGAGAGGAGAGTGAGAGAGAGAGAGAGAGAGAGGGAGAGGGAAGTGGGAGGGGAGTGGTGAGAGGGAGAGGGAGAGGGAGAGGGAGAGAGAGAGAGAGGAGAGAGAGAGAGAGAGAGAGAAGAGAGGAGATAGAGGAGAGAGAGAGAGAGAGAGAGAGAGAGAGAGAGAGAGCGGACAAGTAGGCGGACCAGGGTCCGTCCGCGAGGCGCACTGCGGTGCGACAACTCGCTAAACACTCTTTGCGGCGGTGCAGCCTTTAGATACGAGGGCGGGCAACAAAAACCCCCTCCCCCGGCGCAGTGCGACAGACGCTACAGACGGCGGACAGACGGTGATGATCTCACCTGTCAGACCGCGTAAAGAAAGAGGCCCCAACAGGAAAGGCGACGTGCTGACACGTGGCTAGGCGGCTTGGCAGACCGCCAGTTGGGCGCTTGGCCGCAAAGCGGCGCGCAGTGACGGGGCACCCCCGCCCCCACGCCCTGACACCGTGGACGCGGAGCCACGCGTACACACGGGCAGGCAGAGAGGAGGAGATTAGCGCGGGGCACCAGGTGGAGCGCCGCGGAACGATGACAGCATAGCTTGGATGGAGAGTGACGGCACGGCACCATCAGGCGAGGGCGTGAGCAGCTCGGCGAAGGCTCGCCCGGCGCTGTGGAGGCGCTGGAGTAGAGGGCCTTGGCGAGCTTGGGCGGCGGCGAGGTCCGCGG